ACCGTGCCTGGCCTAATTAGTTTTTTAAATTGTTATTTGTTTGTTGAAGATTTATTTTTATTATTTTGATCACTATATGTGTGTTGGTGGGGTGCGTGCATGTAAGTCCAGAAAAGGGCCTTGGATCCCCTCGAGCCTGGAGTTGACGTTACTGGCAGGCAGTTGTGAGCTGCCTGACCTAAGTGCCAGGAACTAAACTCGGGTCCTCTGAAAGAGCTGGGCACACTGTTTTTTAAAAAACTTAAAGATTTGTTTATTTTGGGCCGAGTGGTGGTGTACACCTTTAATCCCAGCACTGGGGGTGGGGCAGAGGCAGGTGAATCTCTGTGAGTTCGAGACCAGCCTGGTCTACAAGAGCTAGCTCCAGGACAGGCTCCAAATATACATAGGGAAGCCCTGTCTTGAAAAACAACAACAACAACAACAAAAAGGTTTGTTTATTTTAATTTCATGTGTATCTGTGAGACCTACGCGTACGTTTGTGCACAATGTGTGCGCTGTGACTGAGGAGGCCGGAAGTGGGCATTGGATCCCCTGGAGCTGGAGTTACAGGTGGTTGTATGCTAGCACTATTAGATCCCAAGCCATAGCTCTTCCTCAGTTATTTTGACCATGCACAATATTTTGATTGTATTTTGTCTTTGATGTTAACTTTAAAACTTAGCTGGTGTATTTAAAAATGTGATTTCCTTGTACGTTCTGAAAAGGAAGGAGAATTTCTTGGGAAGATCGAATGAGTTGAGGCAATGAAGAGTTGGCATGGGCACAGTCACACAGTGACTGCTCAGCTAACTGCGGTGATTCCCCAACATGACTCACTCTACTTCAGCTCTTTCTGTCAAAACATTTCCAAGGACATTTTCTTGGCTCACACCGAAAATATTCGCATATTTAACATGGGTTTATTGAGTGCTTATTGTGAATCCTGGAGGAGGCCTGGGCTGCATGAATTGCTTGCCATCTCTTAAAGTGGTGGTGGTGGGGCGCTGGAGAGATGGCTTGTTCATTAAGAGCACACACTGCTTTTGCAGAAGGTCCTCAGTTCCCCACACCACATCAACTGGTTCACAACTGTCTGCAACTCCACCTGCCAGTGATCTAGTGCCCTCTTCTGGCCCCATAGACACCTGCACTCGTATGTACATACCCTACCCCACCCCACCCACGTTTTTCCTTTGAGATCCTAGTTAGTATTCTTGGAATTAAAAGTGATTAAAATAAAAAAACATTTGAAATAGCACATCTGGGGAAAGTATCTTTGAACCTCAGCTTTTATTATAGCAACAGGTTAGATCCTGTAGTCAATGAAAATATTCTAACCCTAATGCTCAATGCAGGTGACGTTTTTCTTTTAATTGACAAAGAAATACACTTTCCTTCTAAATTTTTTGTTTCGTTTTGTTTTTGTTTTTCTCTGTGTGGCTTTGGAGGCTGTCCTGGAACTAGCTCTTGTAGACCAGGCTGGTCTCGAACTCACAGAGATCCACCTGCCTCTGCCTCCCAAGTGTTGGGATTAAAGGCGTGCGCCACCACCACCCAAACCTTCTAAAATAACTTAACAAGTTTAATTATAAAAGAATAATGCAGGCTTGTGCTGGAGAGATAACTCGATGGTTAAAAGTACTGACTGCTCTTCCAGAGGACGCCAGTTCAATTCCCAGCACCCACGTGGCAGCTCACAACTGCCTGTAACTCCTGTTCCAGGGGATCCGACACCCTCACACAGATGTACATGCAGACAAAACCCCAACGAGCATAAAATAATAAATAATTAAGAGAGTAATGTAGGTTCAAAGTGCAGTTGAGTAGCACTGGTTGTGCCGAACATGTAAGGTCTCAAGTTTTTTCTTTGTTTTGTTCTGAGTTGGTCTTGGTTTTCTTTCTTTCTTTCTTTCTTTCTTTCTCTCTTTCTTTCTTTTTTTTAAGGATTTATTTATTTACTATGTATTCAGCGTTCTGCCTGAACACCAGAAGAGAGCATCAGATCTCATTATAGATGGTTTTGAGCCACCATGTGGTTGCTGGGAATTGAACTCAGGATCTCTAGAAGAACAGCCAGTGCTCTTAACCTCTGAGCCATCTCTCCAGCCCCTTGGTTTTCTCTTTCTTTCTTTCTTTCTTTCTTTCTTTCTTTCTTTCTCTCTTTCTTTCTTTCTCTCTTTCTTTCTTTTTCCTTTGAGACCTTAAGTTTAATACCCAGCATCAAAACTCCAGGCAAACACAAATTCTGTGCTTCCTATATATGTTAATTATATTGCTATTTTACACTCTGATAGATAATTGATATTTTTTAAAGATGAAGAGTTTTATTTTTACTCTCTGTGTCACACCTTGCTTTTACTTGGGTGTTAGGGAGCTTCAAATTTGATCAGCAAGTATTTTACAGACCAAGCCATTTCTCTAGGCTGTATTTTGTTTGTGTATGTGTGTTTCCAGATAGGGTTTCTTTGTGTAGCTTTGGCTATCCTGGAACTAGCTTTTAGACCAGACTGGCCTCCAACTCACACAGATCCGCCTGCCTCTGCCTTCTGAGTTCTGGGATTCAAGGTGTGTGCCAACATGCCCCACCCTACTCCAGCTTATGGCCCCTGTTTTAAATTATATTTCATTTACTTAGTGTGTGTATGTGTGTGCATGTGTGTATTAGTGCTGTGATAGAACCCAGAACCTCATACGTGCTAAACAGATGCACCACTCCCAGCCCTTTCTTCTTTTTGAAACCCCAAAACAATCCACTGTACAGTCATGTGTGACCAGAAATGCACATTTCTAAAGCATACTGTGACCAAGAAAGGAATTCAAAACATCTGACATGGAATCCAGATGAGGATTAAGTGTCCTCTGTAACTCTCTGACTGTTCTTTCCAGGCAGGATTTTCTCTGAACCTGGGACTTAACCCCCCCCCCCCCCCCCCCCCCCCCCCCCCCCCCTGTTCAGTCTGCAGAATGATGTGCCATAATCATGCTTTAGGGATTCTTTCTTTTAGATTTTTTAAAAGTTCATGTATATGAATGTTTTTTGTTTTGGTTTGGTTTGGTTTGGTTTTTTGGGTTTTTGAGAAAGGGTGTCTCTGTAGCTTTGGAGCCTGTCCGGAACTCACTCTGTAGATGAAGCTGAACTCGAACTCACAAAGATCCTCCTGCCTCTGCCTCCCAAGATCTGGGATTAAAGGCGTGCACCATCGCTGCCCGGCTGTATATGAATGTTTTGCCTGGATGCATGTATGTGCATCAGAAGAGGGCACTGGGTCCCTTGGAACAAGAATTACACCTATCTATGAGCCTCCATGTGGGTACTGAAACCAAACCCCGGTCCTCCGCCAGAGCAGCAGGTGCTCTTAACCACTGAGCCATCTCTGCAGCTCTCACCTGTCATTTTATTGTTAGTAATAAAAATCATAAAAGTTGATTTGGGGCCAGGCATTGGTGGCGCGTGCCTTTAATCCCAGCACTCAGGAGGCAGAGGCAGAGGCAGGCAGATTTCTGTGAGTTTGAGGCCAGCCTGGTCTACAGAGCGAGTGCCAGGATAGGCTCCAAAGCTACACAGAGAAACCCTGTCTTGAAAAACCAAAAAGAAAAAAAAAAAGTTGGTTTGGCAGTATTACATTCAAACAAGGGTTCTGTAAAATCCCCTGTCTGTCCCCATTTTTTTGGGGGGGGGGACAGCCAAAGCTTAGAGAGGGGAGTCAGCTCATCCAAACCCATATGGCTGGGTGGGAGACACAGGAACTGGGCTCCAAGTGAGCCCCTGGCTTCTCTTTCCACTTTGGAACTTGTAGAAGGGTCAGGTAACCATGCCAAGGTCAGCCCCGAACTGCAGAAGGTTGGCTACTGCAAGCAGCAATGTGAACAGCCATCTCCAGTTGTGACTGGCCACGGCCCTGTCTCTGAAGCACTGGTACCTCTGGCCACAGCTGAGATCCTATCTACTGACAGGTCTACCTCTAGCTCCATTGCCACAGCCCATCCCAGGGGTCTTCTGAACCAAATATAACCCACAAGATCTAGTTTCCAGCTACATGGGAGGCTAAGGTAGGGCATCATGTGGTCAAGGCCAGACCCCACAATATAGTGAGATCCTATCTAGCAGACAAAAAACAAACCAGATGACATTGTTGTCTAGCTCTACCTGAGGACATGATCTGGCTTGTGAACCCAGTACTGCACCTGCATCATCCTTGGGGAAACAATGGAAAGGCAGGGCCACTGTCTCCTCATTTGCCAACAGCCATGTGTTTACTGAGCATCTACTATGTGATAGTTGCTTAGGATAAAAGTTTTCTACTAATACTACTTACTATTATTGGTGGTGTTGGTGTGTGTATGTGCATAATGCACGTGTGTGTGTGTGTGTGTGTGTGTGTGTGTGTGTGTGTGTGCTGGCATGCCACTGCACATGTGTGGAGGTCAAGGACAGCTCTCAGAAGTGGGTTTTCTCCTTACAGCTTAGGTTCCAGGGATTGAACTCAGGTCGTCAAGTTTTGGTAGCAAGCATCTTTACCCACTGACCTATCTCACCAACCATGGATGGAAGTTTTCCTCATGTTTGACTGGACTCCTGTACCACTCAGTTCCCTTTTCTTGTGAAATTGAGGAAATAGCATGACCTCGAAAGGCTATAAAGACCAAAGGAACTCATTCATAGAAAGTTCTTCTTGGTTTTCTGTTCGTTTTGTTTTTTGAGACAGAGTCTCCCTATGTAGCCCAGGATGGTGGTGAACTCCTGATCATCCTGCCCCCACCTCCAGAGTGCTGGGATGACAGGTGTAATTAGAACAGTTGGGCACATAGGTAAGTTTTAATATTGGCTAGTATTACCAAAAAAAAAGTTCTTAAACCAAGACACCTTCTCCCTACCCCATCCTCCTCATAGCCAGTATTGGATCTGTGAAATAGTCACAGGTTTCTTTCGTCTCCTTTCCCACGTGCTTGTGTGTGTGTGAGTTGGGGGGGTGGAGACACGGACTCTTTTTTTTTTTTTTTTCAAAACTGGAGCACAGTAATAAATATCCAGTAGGTCTATTTGCATGAAGTGGAGACACAGTTGCATGATAAAGATAAATCAATAGAATTCATGACAATTAAAGCCTGGTGCATCTGCAGCCCCCACTTGACTCTCAGAGCAGGAATCTTAAAAAGGGGGAGGCTGGGTTGACAACAATTTCAATATGAACATTGGTGGCATCAAAAAAGGACATGGAACACTCATTAGAATTCAAGGAAAAGATTCTTGGGTAATTTTGCTGATGTCATCATTCACCCCTCTCCCCATACCTTCCCCTTCCCCTGTTCACCCAAATGAGCTGTCAAGAACTGATGGGTGTCTTGGTAATCAAAGAAAACAAGCTTGCCCTTTAAAGCAAAAGAGGCAATTTGGCTGAAAGCAAATTGGAAACATTCCCCGTGGCTCTGAGTTTCCAGCCTTCATCTCCCAAGAATCCTGGGAGTTTTGATTGATGCCTGGAGAACTCTGAGGTTAACTTGGAAAAGTGTGTCCATCCAACCCTTCCTTCATTTATCCTGTGGCCTCGGGACAGGCACCCTTCATCCTCAGAGCAGCCAGAGAGAGGCGCCACAGCTGCCCAGAAATCTCTTTAGGCACCCAGGGAACTCACTCTGGGGTAAGAGAGCAGGAAGTGGGAATGAGTCCCAGGGAAGCAAGTTGGTGCCTCCTTGGGCAGGGTCTTCGACCTTGAAGAAGGTTCTCACTCTGGGTATGTTTTGTCCAGCCAAGGAGCCTCTCTTCTCTGTCCTTAGACATCTGGACACTTATCCAATTGCCTCGCTGTCTGTGGTTTGATGAACTAAAGATAGTCTGCTGTGGCTTTCTTTGCATAGCGCTTTCTCCTCCATCTTAATCTGGGCCCATCATCAATCAGTTCCTGTGCTGTTTGATCATCTAAGGGGCTCTTTGAATAGATATCTGATCAGCTGAGCCTCTCTGATCACAAACAACAGAAACACATGGAGGCTAAGCATAGCAATGAAAACAACGCTGACCAACCAGGCTTCAGACCTCAGACTAATGCCAAGAAGGTCCCCACAACCTCCCACTTCAGGCTCTGGATTAGTAGGGTCTTCAGGAAGGATCTGGGAGCTTGGCAGTTCCCATCCCTGCGGCTTTCCCTCAGCCAGAGTCCCTGTTCCTCAGACACAGTGGACAGGACTATTTGATGGACAGTCCCACCAAGACTACTGTTAGTGTGCTTTCTCACCATGACAAAGCCCCTGAGGTGAATGACTTGTAAGCTGGTCTTCTCTGTGACTGGTGGCTCTGCTGTGTTGGAGGCTGAGGCAGGACAGTGCATCACATCATGGCAGAGCCTGTGAGAGATGAGATTGCACACTTTCAATTGAGAGAAGGGAGGGTGGGGAGAGACAGAGAGAAAAAGAAAGACAGTATGAGTGTCCCCTTCAAGTGTACGACTCCAGTCACCTAAGAACCTTGTACCAGCCAGGTTAATCCCAGCACTCAGGAGCCAGAGGCAGAAGCAGGAGGATGCCTGTGAGTTCAAGGCCAGCCTGGTCTACATAGTGACTTTCAGGCTAGCCAGGGTTACATAGTAAGACTCTGTCTCAACACTCACCCCCCTCCAAAAAAAAAAAAAAAAAAAGAAAACCTGAACAACCTCCTCTCCAGGCCCCACCTCTTAAAGAAAGGTCCATCACCTCTGCATGGCCATGGTGCTGTGGGCTGGGGACCAACGCTTTAACACATGAACCTGTGGAGTTATATGCAAACCAGAGCAACTGTCTATGATGCTGCTGGGTTTCCTGGGAAAACCTGGGTGCCTTTACCTGACAAGGACACAGACTTGAGCAGACAGAGGCATCAATGCCACTGTCCCCTTCAGTGATGGCAGCTGGGAACTCAGAGTCCAAGAATGAGTCCTCTGTCCTCCCCTCCACACACTCTTTCTAGGCTTCTCTAGTCACAGTGTGTAACAAGCCCCACAATCCCCTGCTTCTGTTGGCAGACACGTCTTTGGAGAAGATGGTAATAATTAAGCAGGTCCGTGTGGGGACATCAGCAGGGTAAGGAGCATGAGGAAGGGCCAGGCTGAACATGGAGATGGCATTCATACGTGACACTGCGGTGGTCCAGACTCACTCTTCAGTCTCCCTGGGCCTACAGTGTAATATTAGCTGTCGAAGACTCATGTGCTCACAACTTCCATTGAACACAAGGATTCCTGCCTTATGGAAAATGGCACTAGGCCCAACCCCCAGGGGTAACCAGACCCATCGGGGCCACTGCAAGTTCTTGCTACTGCCACTGTGCTACCAAAGCCACGGCAATTTTTGTTTTGTTTTTCGAGACAGGGTCTCACTACGTAGCTCTGGCTGTCCTGGAACTCACTATGTAAACTAGGCTGGCCTCAAACTCAGATTCTCCTGCCTCTGCCTCCTGATTGCTGGGATCAAAGGTATGTGACACTATGATCAGCTTGCCAACAAAATTACTGATTTCTGATGTCACCATTGAGTTTTTTGAGATAGTTGCTCAGACAAACCTCTTACTTTGTAGTAATTATGGATTTGTAGAAAACCTGTCAAGATAATATAGGTTCTCTGCATACTTCATTCAATTCCCGAGATGTTACTTTATAGGTCAGAACTAAGAAAGTAACATTGTCAAACCTGGTGTGACTGCAGTGCCTGTACTCCTCACATTTGGGGATGGAGGCCAGAGTTTAAGGACATCCTCTCCCACATAGCAAGCTCCATGACAGCCTGGGCTACAGGAGGCTCTGCCTCAAACAAAGAAACACATAGGTAAGACGCTATTGATACAATACTGCTAACCAAACCTTGAACTTGGTGGCTTCCCAGCTGTTACTCTGATGCCCTTCTCTGTTTCAGAACCTAGTCTGGACAGTGGTTCTCAACCTTCCTGACACTGTGACCCTTTAGTACAGTTCCTCATGCTGTGGTGACCCCAACCATAAAATTATTTGTTGCTACTTCATAGCTGTAATTTTGCTACTGTTATGAATCATAATGTAAATATCTAATATTCATGATACCTGATGGGGGTCACGACCCACATGTTGAGAACCACTGGTCCAGGACATGGACTGATTGGTCTCAAAAAACAAGTAAGAGATGGATAAATGAAGATACCCAATGGTGACCTCTAGCCTGCATATGGACATGTAATATGTGTGCTCACATGCACACAGATGCATACACTACACACACATATACATCCCCACACACATGCTCATCCACACATACATGCATATCTACACACACCAACACTCTATTCACATGGATACTACAGGGGCATACACACCTACACACTTACACACTTACACCCAAACACACACATTCCTGACATGTGCTGGTGCGCTGTTACCCACCCTGCTTGCTTTTGCCCCATTCAGGACATTCAGGACATTCACTGTCATTCAGGACAGAGCTGACCTGTTCAGCTCTGTCTGTGTCTTGTCCTATTAATGTCCTACTCTATGACCTTTCTACTGTGTCCATGTCCCATCCTACTCTGTGACCTGTGGTGCCTTGTCCCAGCCTCCTCTGTGTGCTGGGCTGTGACCCAGGCTCTTCAGCTGATTTCCCACTGGTTTGGGGCAACATGGGGAGGAAATGCAAGCAGGGGCAGAGCACATTTTCCACGCTCTGCTTTGCTTGTACAGCACTTCCAGCTACAGCTTCAACTCCTCTGGGGTCTGCTGCCCCTGGTCCCCCCAACTCACATCTTCTCCCTGTGTGACTTCTTGCTGTTGACACTGCTAGGTGACCTCCGCTGCCTAAAGCTGGCCTCTCTACATTTCTGCCACTTGGGTAACCCCCATATGAAAGTCCTCAGAACAGTGACTGTCTCTTGCCTGGTATATGTGCCCAGGACTCCCCTCCACCCTCAGTCCTCTTACTCCAATGGCTCAGTCAAGCACCAAGCATCATCACAATGCTAAAAGATAAGGTAACCCCAGCACTTGGGTCAGGGGTAAGGACAGACTAGGCTATAAGAAATCCTATTTCAAAAACAAACAAACAAACAAAAAATCAAATCAAAACAAAAATCCAAAGAGCTAAAAGTAGCTTCCAGGTTCTATGGAGTGGTGTCATGGCCATTATACCTAACAGCCACCCCTTCCTTTGCAGGGTTGCTGACTGAAAAGCCAGGAGAACCTTGAGTTGGCTGACGTCTCAATGCCGGGGTATACAGAGGCAAAGTCAGCCGCTCCAGAGATGGCCTTGGCCTTGGACATCTTCAGCATGCCCCCTTCCTACGATGGCCTGGCCATCCATAGAATCCCACTGAGTACAGACATAATCCCAGTTATGCCAATGAAGACCTTGACCCCATCCAAATCCAAGCTCAACACCATCGAGGCCAAGAGAATCATGACAGTCCTGGATGAGGCCATACAAAAAGTGGGGCTGGTGACCCTGATGTCCTACGTGGAGTCCCACCCAGATGCTCTGGAGGGAGTGTTCCCTGAAGACTTGATGAGGGCCATCAGAGAACATCTGGACATCGGCCAGGTCTTTCTGGAGGGTGCCAGCAACCTGCAGGAGAAACAAAAACTGCTGGAGGAAAAGAAGGCGGATGCTGAGGAAGCCTGGTGCCGGGACCGCCTAATGTCTATAGAACTATACAAGGCCAACCTGTGGCCACTGGCACACCAGTTCCGAGATTCCACCAAGGCCATCCTGAGGCTCCTGTCCAGCCAATCCCAAATCATCACACTGCTGCAGGCACGTGCACCAGGCAGAAGCCGGGGGGCGCAGCGCCTCCTTGAGGCCCTGATAGAGCTTCGGGGCTACCTCTTTGAAAAGCTCCTCACCAGCCCTATGGAAGTAAGGGAGAAGAACCAATTCATACAGGACATCAACCGGAGGAATGAAAGGAACCAAGAAGTCATTGATGCTCTCCAGGCCGAGCTGGCGGAGGTGCTAAAGAATAAGGAGGCAGAGGTATACTTCCCAGCATCCCTCAGGTTCCGGGATGAACTGCGTGGGCCAAGCCCTTTGGGACTTGGCTTTTCTTTCGTTGATTCAAATAGCTTCCTCATCATTTACTCTGTAGAGATTGTCCTGAGCATTTTACTAGGAGGTTATATCATTAAATAAATCCAGCCTCAAGAGCTCACAGGACATTAAGGAATTAGTTGACAGCTGTTCGGAAGTGTGAAGGGTAAGGACAGGGCACCATGGAGGGATGATACGAGAGAACTGAACTCGGGCCGGAAGGACCAGGGACACTGCCACTAAGACAAGAAGGATCAAGAAAGGGGGACTGCACCGGGCATTGGTGGCACACGCCATTAATCCCAGCACTCGGGAGGCAGAGGCAGGTGGATCTCTGTGAGTTTGAGACCAGCCTGGTCTACAAGAGCTAGTTCCAGGACACCTCCAAAGCCACAGAGAAACCCTGTCTCGAAAAAAAACAAAAACAAAAACAAAAAAAAGAAAGGGGGACTGAGCCAGACAAGTGACTGTCATGTCAGTCCTGGATGAGGCCATACAAAAAGTGGGGCTGGTGACCCTGATGTCCTACGTGGAGTCCCACCCAGATGCTCTGGGGCTGGCAAGGTGTCTTTGTTACCAGCTAAGTGAGTTCTTCATCTTACATAGGAGAGACATCAGATACATGGGGGAGGGGTTGTAGAGACGGCTTAGTGGTTAAAAGTGCATACTGTTCCTTTGAGGGACTCACAGGGACTCAATGCACAGCCATGGCTGGTCTGGAATGCCGAAGACTAGGCTGGCCTTCAACTCATAAAGATCTCCCTGCCTGTGCCTCCTGAGTGTTGGGATTAAAGGCCTGTGCCATCACACCTGGTATATACCGCTCTAGCAGAGCAGAAGAGTTCAGTTCCCAGCACCTATGTCCAGCAACTCACAAACACCTGTAGCTCCAGCTCCCAGGGATGTCGCCCTGCATTCATGTGTACAATTTCTCTCTCTCTCTCTCTCTCTCTCTCTCTCTCTCTCTCTCTCGCTCTCTCTCTCTCTCTCTCTCTCTCTCTCGCTCTCTCTCTCTCTCTCTCTCTCTCTCTCTCTCTCTCTCTCTCTCTCTCTCTGTCTCTCTCTCTCTCTCTCTCTCTCTCACACACACACACAATTTTTAAAATTATATTCAATCTTAAAAGAAATCTGAAATCCAAGAATATTGAAACAAAAGAAAAGTGAAAGCCTATTATGAAAAGAAGTACAGGGTTGGCTAGTGATGGAGCACACCTTTAATCCCAGCATCCTAGAGGCATAGGCAGGTGGATCTCTGTGAGTTCGAGGCCATCCTGGTCTACAGAGAGAATTCCAGGGCAGTCAGGGCATGGCTGAGTGGGTAAAAAGCTTTCTGTACAAGCTGGGGAATCTGAGTTTGAGCCTTGGAGCCCACTTTTTTTTTTTTTTTAAGCTGGTATGATGGTGTACCTATGTAATCTCAGCATTGGGGAGGTAGGGATGGGGGACCCCTGAGACCAGGGGCTAGCCAGCCTAACCTAAGCCACAAGCTCCAGGCCAATGAGAGAGGTGGATGACTGGTGAGGGTGCACATACATGCAAGCACATATCCAGAGAGTTACAGCAGGCTACTCTACAGCTGTGAACACAGAGCTGTGTTTCATCTTATGGACAGGTTTGAATATTTGAACATTCAGAGGTTCTATAGGAAGCTTAAAGTGTACCTGTATGCACATTGCTACCAACCCTGCCCCCACCCACAGTTGACTAGTTAGTATATTATAGTAAGTCCCAGGGTTAGTTACAATTCAGATCTGTCACATCTTGATGGCTGTGGGTCCTCAGCAGCTGCTGTCTTCCTGCAGCCTGCTTTCTTTTTGGCTCTGTATCTCATCTCCAAAGGGTCACACAATCCACACACTGGGCTTAGTGGGCCAGTTGTCTCCACATGACTCTGCTGTTAGTGTGGAAGCAGCCAAAAACAGTATCAGAACAAAAGGGCTGTGTCTCAATTTATTGACAGGTATGGCTGTTTGGATCTGGCTTATGAGCCTTTGTTTGCTGATCCCTTTCCTAGGTGGAGGGGAGCATGTGGTCCCAGACCTGAGATGAGCATAAGCCTGGCTGGTTCCAAACCCTAAGGGAGGGCACAACCAAAGGCCAGCTGCCCCTGTGATTGTGGGAGTCTGTGTGGCAATTAATGGGGCCCCATCCTCATTCGTGCTGGCCTAGGTGGAGAAGGAGAACTTTGTGATCCAAGAGCTGAAGAACCACCTGCACCAGGTGTTCAAGTTCTCAGAGATCAGCCTCCTTCGAACGAAGCAGGAGGCAGAGAAGCAGCAGAAGGTGGATTACCGGGCCTCCCAGGCTCGGCTGGCCAAGATACAGCAAGAGATCCTGACGCTTCGCTCGCAGTACCACAACCTGGTCATGGAGAATCGGGAGGTGGAGCAGGCCCTGAGGAAGGTGCCTTGAGGTCTCGGGGTAGAGAAGGCAGGGCAGGGCTCATCCAGGAGTGGGGAAGCCCAAGACATGTGGTATCTCCTGGGATGTGTGTGTGGGGGCACACAGGTGGGAGCGAGGCTCCTCCCTCACCACCATCTCAAAGTTCGCCCATGGAGGAGGCATGTCTAGCTTCATTCTTTTCTATGGCAGAATCACATTCTGTTTTATGCACAGGGGAAATTTCTTCTTCTTCTTTTTTTTTTTTTTTTTTTTTTTTTGAGACGGGGTTTCTCTATGTAGCCCTGGCTGTCTTGGAACTCAATCTGTAGACAGGCTGGCCTTGAACTCACAGAGATCCACCCAGCTCTGCCTCTCTAGTGCTACAATGCCTGATACCATGCCCAGTATTTTCTTTAAGTTTTTATTTTATGTATATAGGTGTATTGCCTACATGTGTGTCTGTTTGGATATCTGTGTACCACATGTGTGCAGTGCCCTCAGAGGCCAGAAGACAATGTTGTGTCCCCTACAACTGGAGTTACAGAGGGTTGTGAGTTACCATGCAGGTGCTGGGTATTGAACCTGGGTCCTCTGGAAGAGAAACCAGTACTCTTAACTGCTGAGCTATCTCTACAGCTCCAACTACATTTAATTTTTAAACTTAGGGCCTCATTCATGCTAGGCAAAGGTTCTGAGCCACACCCCCAGCTGGGAGCTGACCCTTTAAACTATTAGTGTGTGTGTGTGTGTGTGTGTGTGTGTGTGTGTGTGTGTGTACTTGTGTGCATGCACCATGATGCCTGTGTGGAGATCAGAGAACAGCTCTTTTGTCAGTTCTCTCCTGCCACCTTGTGGGACCAGGGGATTAAACTCAAGTCCTAAGTGCCTCTGCCTACCCACTGAGCCAGCTTACTGGCCCTGGACTTTGTTTTTGTTTAAGAAAAAATATAAAGTGGAGACGGAAATTGAGAACTGGATCCAGAAATATGACATGGAGATGGGTGAGAAGCAGGTATGTGTCAGGGGTTCTCCCTGAAGGGTTAGGAGGGATGGCAGTGGGGTAGGAGCTGCCCAAGATGGCCTAGGTATGAGCCTCTCTGGAGATCCTTTGCCTCAAGGGGCATGTCCCAGTGGGAGGTCTGTGTGTGTGGGGGGTGCAGGGTAGGAAGACATGAAAAGCAGGAAACTGATGAAAGCCACAGCCAACCAGAAGGATGTGGCTCCATCTGATATCTAGTCCTATGGTCCCCTCCTCCAGCCTTGCTCGGCTCCTGCCTGTTCCCCATTCAGAGGGGAGTCTACCCCCACTACTGTCACTCAGCCTCTACTGAGCACCTAAAAGGTGCCAGGCTCCAGGATAAGGTGGGGAAGCATAGACAGTCCTCATTGTCATCTGCAGGTTCCAAACCAGTGTCACTCATCAGGTGTGTCACCCGACATCAGCTGGCCTTTTTGAATTTGTATCTAACCATGAAGAACACAGACTGCAATCTCTGTCCTGGGACCCTGGTGGGAGGGTTAATGAGACACCATTACTGAATGTGTCTGAACCCCCAACTAGATCTGTATGGATAGAGTCCTGTATGGCCCCACCCACTTGCTGGTGGCACCTGGCCCTGATCTGAGCAGGCCTGGAGAGCTGAGGGTTCATGCCAGACAGTTTAAAGCCAAGCCTGGTCAAAGAAAGGCAAGCAGGGTCCCTCTCACACTGACCACAGTGCCTTCTGGGTACAGGAGATGCATGACTGGTGCCTGTTTCATGGGTCCCAGGGGAGGCTGTGTAGCTGGGGACATGGCTGGGGTGGCTGAGCATCTGCCTAGTGTGCACAGGGCCCAGTACTACAAAACAAATGCAACAGAGTCCACTGAGAGCCACAGGATCCTTGCTGGCAGGGACCCTGTCCACCCAGTCCTTGTCCCCGAAGTGCTCTGCCTCAGTGATACTCGTAGATGCTGGTGGAAAAAAGGGGGTGGGGGAGAGACAGAGACAGAGAGAGAGACAGACAGAGACAGAGACAGAGAGAGACACAGAGAGGGGGAGGCTGGTGAACTGCAGCAAGAGGGGCCAGAGACAGAAGTGGGAGAGGACCCTGGGGTCACCCAAGACAGAGCTTGCTGCTTTGGGCCTCTGTGAAGCTGCCTCACCGGAGGCAGCTCTCCTTCCCCGAGGCCACACTGGGTCCTGGTACAGTGGCATCACATCCTCGGGGGCCAACTCTCACTATGATAAAACACTTGAGAAAGGGAAGAAAGTTTTGTATGAGCTCAGAGTCCTGGAGTCCTCAGAGTCCTCAGAGTCCAATCCATGGTCACTTGACCCCTCTGCCTTGAGCCTGAGGTGGGAATGTCTCAGAGAGGGCAGCAGAAATGTTCACTCTGAATAAACAAGGAGGGAGGAGAAAAGGGTTGAACAGAGGGGAGGAGGGAGTGGATGAGAGAGACACAGATCAAAGAGAAGATACCTTTCAAGGGTCCACCCCCCAGTGAACTACTTCCTCCCGGAAGGCTTCCTCCTCCCTGTTCAGCACTGAATCCATCAACTGGTTAACCCACTGACAAGACTGGCGCTTTCATGATTCAGTTGCCACTCAACAGCGCCACCTAGCTGGGGGGACCAGGCCTCCAGCCATGTGTCTGTGAGGGGGCTTTCATACTTAATCCCAGAAACTCTCCCTGGTATTTGGAGTATTTGGAATTGTCTGGAGAACCAGAAGCTTTAAAGGGAATCTCCTAAAGGTGCAGAGAAGCTAGACTTCAAAGCTACGGTCAGCGGCTGGGGGACCACCTCAGTTAGTAGGATGCTTGCTATGCAAACACTAGGACCTGAGTTTGCATCCCCAGCACCCATGTAAGAAGCTGAAAACTGCAGTGTGCAGTTGTAATCACAGTGTCGGGAGGCAGATCCTGGGAGTTTGCCAGCCCAGTGATACCTGCAAGCTCTAGGTTCAGTGAAAGATTCTGCCTCAAAAAGTAAGGTGGAAAGATTGAGGAGGAAGCCTAACGTTGTATACACACACACACACACACACACACACACACACACACACACACACACACACACACATGGGCGTGTGTGCACA